GAGCGACAGGATGACGGCGAGACGTGCGTTAGCCCTTTACAGGTAAGTTAAAGATCTCCAAAAGCTCAGAACGAAAACGAACCAGCGACAGGATGACGGCGAAACGTGCATTAGCCCTTTATGAAGTACCTGAAAACCTAAACACCTCCTGGAACAACATCAGGTACATGAAGCACCATGAAACAAACCAAGGGACCACAGCAACCAATCAACAGTTTAACAATAGCCGGTACGTTTTCACCTCCCTGGCGCGCGGTCTTCGTTGGCTAGGACGCGCGCCAGGGAGTCCTGGCCCCCTGCTGAAAAAAAAAGAGAAACACAATCCGAAAGGATCCCTGTGACTACAAGGGACACACACACACACACGCCTCCCCGAGGGGAGGCGTATCGCAAGTGTGAGGAACCTCTAGTAGCGTCAAAGTAGCGTCCTAGCACCTAGTAGGAAGGCCAGGAGCCCTAGTAGCAACCCAAGCTAAGGTCCCAACAGGAGGGAGTAGGGATTGAACAAACTTCGTTCGCTGTGACCACGTACAGCTTGCCCGAAGGCTGCCACCTTTGACCGCTGCGGTCACGTAAAGGCATGAGCCAGCTTGGAATTCCAAAAATGAGACAAACATCCCACTTCTTGTGGCATAAGCCATCTGCTGTCCGCTACGGACACTTACATCTCCGGGCAGGGGAGATAACGACAAACCCCCGTTCGACGGGTCCACGGGAGGCACTCTACAGGCTCATCCCGGGTTGGCACGAGGCCAAACACACTTATGGAAATGCGTACTGACTTGACAGCGGTGCCACACGCCGGCCTAAATTCCCATTTCTTAAGGGTACAGGTAGACCAAACCAATAGCATCGACGATCACGCGACAGGTTGACGACGTGCGTGCAGGACTGTGACTCATCTCCAGGTTCAGGTAAGTTAAAGATCTCCAGAGCTCAAAACGAAAAACGGACGAGCGACAGGATGACGGCGAGACGTGCATTAGCCCTTTACAGGTAAGTTAAAGATCTCCAAAAGCTCAGAACGAAAACGAACCAGCGACAGGATGACGGCGAAACGTGCATTCGCCCTGTATGAAGTACCTGAAAACCTAAACACCTCCTGGAACAACATCAGGTACATGAACCACCATGAAACAAACCAAGGGACCACAGCAACCAATCAACAGTTTAACAATAGCAGGTACGTTTTCACCTCCCTGGCGCGGTGTCTTCGTTGGCCAGGACGCGCGCCAGGGAGTCCTGGCCCCCTGCTGAAAAAAAAGAGAAACACAATCCGACAGGATCCCTGTGACTACAAGGGGCACACACACATACATGCATACATACATACAAACATACACGCAGACATACGTACATACATACATACATACAAACATACACATACAGGCACACATAGACACATACATACATACACACACACACATACATACAGACGACAGACACATACATACAGACACACAGACATAGCACCCGACCCACGAATGAATGCGCGTACGTATCCGAGCACTCACAATGGATGCAGGTACGTGTGGGTGACCAAACCAGATATTCCACTCCGTGACCTAGCTTCCTTGCAGTTAGCCTGGTCAGACAGAGAAAAGCAAGACATGAGTCCAGCGAGGACACAGAGGGCCCCCCAAACAAAAAAGTTTTCGGTCGGACAAGCGAAAGCATACTCGCCAGGCAAGTGAAAGGACCAGTCAAATCCCGCAACTATGCAACCACCAGGAGCTAGAGAAAGACCGCCCATGAGGAGGAGTGGAGCAATTTGAGAGCGGACACTATTTGATCCAGGCATTTAATGTGAAGGATCGATTGAGTAAGGCTAGGTCCTGCGTAGCGTCCTTGCTCCTAGTAGTAAGGCCAGGAGCCCCTAGTAGCGTCCTTGCTCCTAGGGTGGGTCACAGCCAGGAGTCGTTGTCGGGTAGAGTTTCAGCCGCATCCATGGGCGTCAATGCACTGCGGCATGTGGAGCTGTCTGTGTGGACATACATACATACATACAGACAGACAGACAGACAGACAGGGAGACAGACAGACAGACAGCCATACAAAGATACAGACGAACATACAGACACACATACATACACTTAGATTGTTGCTCGCAAGAGCTAGGATCAGTACGAAGTCCCACTTTACACGCATCAGACCATGACTGGAAAGGGATGCAAACAGAAAGGCGATGAGTCAGCAGAGTTGAAGGTGTTTGAACACTCTTTTTGAAACTGCACGGCAATACGCAACTAGACCTGATTAAAAATTGAGCAGGTACACATTCAGGCGTCCCTGAATGCATCCACCAGTCTTCCGTAGCTTCGTTGGGCAACGTAGGAAGACCGGTCGTTGCCCCCCCTGCCTCTTTTTTCGCGCTGTTTTTTGATTTGAACAAACTGCACGCTAATAGCGATACCAGGAGCCCTTAGTAGCGAAACCAGTAGCGCCCTTTGTGACTCAAAACCTTAGGCACAGACTCGGCGCGCTCTCCCTTGCTTGCAACTAGTAGCGAGGCCAGGGGCCCCTAGTAGCGTCCTTGCTCCCTGCAGAACGGCCAGAGAGCAGCCAGAGGCCCCTGGTAGCACCGTCCTGGCGAGACCAAACGCCCCTAGTAGCGTTGTTTGCGGCGCAAAGCCTTATTTAGGCATATGTATGGAAACGTACACAAACACAAGGCCGTAATCGGTGCGCTCTTGGTACACTTAGCGCCAATATTGGCGCTGCGGAAAAATGTTTTACTAGCCACCTAAAAAGCCTTAGAAAGACAGACAAAGCAAACAAAACAAAGGCAGACTAAGAGGGCAAGAAAGAAAGATAGGTGTAGTTACGAGGCCCACTTAGTCAAACGAAAGTAGTTAGCGAGCGGGACTTTGGTCTTATACCGCCCGGGTAGCTAGAAGTAGGACAGGAGAAACAGAAGGAAAGGCACCAACACACAAGTGTGTTGAGTGCGATTTCCTTCTGTTACCCTAAATAGCGGGTGGGATGGCAACGGAGGCCCAGGGGCAGGGAGGTAGGGGGGAGGGTGGGTTAGGGTGGCCCGAAGGCATTGCCATCATTGGCGTTCAAGTAAAGCCGATTTGGGCCGGCGCAACCCTTGTCTGAAAGGCACCTGAAACCTAAAGAAATGCCTCAAGAAAACGAAATGCAACACCAAGAAATAGAAAACCAAACGGATCAAGAAAAACCCACTCTCATGTCGCGCTCACTTCCAGCCTGTGAATACGTAGCAGCATGACATGGACATGCGTGAGATTCCAAACTGGAGTTGATCTCAGTAAGCCCTGCGGCACAGTATCAGTGGTATCATGCAGCACCACGGATCAAGGGGTATCAAGAGAAGTCCAAGAGTGCAAAGCGAAGCATTCAGAGTGGGTCCCCCAGGATCTGGGTCTGTGCACACGCGGCGCCCCTTGATGGGGATCACACCACAGCCCTCAGTGGGACCCTGCGGCGAAAACACACTTAGATTGTTGCTCGCAAGAGCTAGGATCAGTACGAAGTCCCACTTTACACGCATCAGACCATGACTGGAAAGGGATGCAAACAGAAAGGCGATGAGTCAGCAGAGTTGAAGGTGCTTGAACACTCTTTTTGAACCTGCACGGCAATACGCAACTAGACCTGATTAAAAATTGAGCAGGTACACATTCAGGCGTCCCTGAATGCATCCACCAGTCTTCCGTAGCTTCGTTGGGCAACGTAGGAAGACCGGTCGTTGCCCCCCTGCCTCTTTTTTCGCGCTGTTTTTTGATTTGAACAAACTGCACGCTAATAGCGATACCAGGAGCCCTTAGTAGCGAAACCAGGGGCCCTTAGTAGCGAAACCAGTAGCGCCCTTTGTGACTCAAAACCTTAGGCACAGGTGTGGACACACACACACACAGACACAGACGGACGGACGGACGGACGGACAGACAGACAGACAGATAGACAGACAGACAGACCTACATATCTACACACAAACATAGCTACCGACCCACGTATGTATGCGCGTACGTATCCGAGCACTCACAATGGATGCAGGTACGTGAGGATGGTCAAACCAGATATGCCACTCCGTGACCTAGCTTCCTTGCAGTGGGTCAAGCTCCCAGTTACCCTGGTCAGAAAGAGAAAAGCAAGACATGAGTCCAGTGAGGACACAGAGGGCCCCCCAAACAGCAAAGTTTTCGGCCGGGAAGGCGAAGACATACTTGCCAGGCGAGGCCAAGGACGAGTCAAATCCCGCAACTATGCAACCGCCAGGAGCAAGAGAAAGACCGCCCATGAGGAGGAGTGCAGCAATTTGAGAGCGGACACTATTTGATCCAGGCATTGAGTGTGAAGAATCGATCAGACTGTCGGGCAACTGTGGCCGATTCAGCTCTCTATCTACACACGATGCAAAGACGGTGGGCACG